GGGACCCCTATCATTCCATGATAATCCGTACATCCCTTGGGTGCCTAGCCTAGGCAACCCTCAGTTCAGAACTCTGGACTTAAACCCTAGACCTTAAAGCCTAACCCTTACCCATAAGCCTCAATCCTAGAAACCCAAACCTGAACCCTCAATCTTAAATCTAGGCCCTACATCCATAAACCCATAAATCCTGAATCCTATAAACCTTAAACCCTCGACTCCCCATGTGGGGCCCCACTTTCAAAGTGCCTCGCCTGCAGATTGCCAGAGAAGCCAAGCCAAAGCAAAAGTGCTGACAAGGTTTTTGGATTTTTTGCTCGAGAAATTACGGGTGTAGGGTTTAGGATGTATGTACCCCTAAACCCTAAACCCTAAGAGTTGCCATAAATGCAGCGGGGAAGGGGAGGGGGTCAATATAGACCACTCTAAACCCTAAATCCGAAATGCCAAACTCTAAACCCTAGGAGGGTCAATATAGACAACTCTACTATGATCATCCTTAGTTGGCAGGCTCCCGAAAAGGGACCCCACCTTTTTGAAAACGCTACGCCCTATATGGGGGTGTACCAAAATTAGGGGTACCATTTTGGGTGTGGGGGTATATAGGGGATCTATGGCTGGGTTTCGGGTTGGTTTCTGTTTGTTCCATGGAATCATGACACTGCGCAAGAGAAGCAACATCAGCTGCAAATAAGATCGCAACTTCCACCTATGCAGCACTCATGCAACGTCCGAGACGGGAGACCTAGGAAGGAGAGTCATTACCGCTGCAATCCGTATCCTGATTTACCAGCTGCACTGACCTTCCTAGTAGACTCAGCTAGGTTATTTGCATAGTTACGAACATAAACCCTGTACACCAGTAAAATAACACCAATAATCCCTGTAGTTTCCATTTTCTTTTCCATTACCCCAAAATAACCCTACCTGCTAACCCTCCCTGAGCACTTAGAAGCTTATAGTCCTATTCTGACCCGCTTCCCTCCCTGAACCCTAAAACCTTCGTAGGGTTTAGGCTTTAGGGTCTAGGGTTAAGGGCTTAGGGCTTACGGTCTAGAGCTTAGGGGTTTAGGGCTTAGGTTCGGCCAATCCCCGTATAGTACTAGCTCCTGAATATGGAATTCATAGGGCCTTAGTATACCGTCAATAATCCCTTGTGGTACCCATTACTGGCCATTCGATTCTCCAGCAGGGAAATCCTAACATCTAAACCTACAAACCCATAAACCCCATAAACCCTATAAACCCTAGAAACCCTATACACCGTACAAACCCTATAAGCCCCCGAAACCCTAAGCTGTCCAGAAAGCTGATGGAATCCAGAGTTGAGAGCAACCAAATCAAGCTGACCAAGCCCGTCTTTACGATGAGGTCGCCTTAGGGAAGTAATTCGGAGGCCAGGCTTCATTTTTTCTGGGGGGGGGGGGTGCTTAGGGTCTAGGGCTTAGGGTACCTATAGGGTATAAAGTAGGGTTTCTATAATAGGAATTCATAAAAGTGTTGGCTATGGCTTATACAGGTGCTTTGGACCCTCTGAAGAATAGGGAAAAAGGGGTAGGTTAAGGAAAGTATACGAAACTTTGTGGAAGAAAGTTCTCAGAGTCTTGAGGTCGCAAGCTGAATCATGTTAACCTACCATGAATGAAGGGGTGGTAATAACATATTGTTGCCGAGCCAGAAAATCCCGGAAGACTATATTGCTTTCTAACAAGTTTCGGAGTCCGAAAAGGTCTAAACAAGGTCCATCGGGAATAATAACGGGGTGGCAATAGTAATATTGTCCGCCCAAAAAAAATCTAATTCAGTTTTTTTAAGGTGAAATGGTAGTCAGGTTGAATTAGATGCCTGCAGAACAGACAACAATAAAACTCCATGTAGGTCTGGTTGTTAGAAAAGCCTTTTTACTCGCCCTAAGGCCTTGATGTCTTTACTAATTGTCTGGAAATTTAGAAATCCCCAAGCGTCAGAAACTCAGGATTTCCATTACTCTGCTTATTCGAAACCAATTCCGAGAAGCCTCCAAAGGCTATACCCTTACCGGGGCCCTCCCTGCACAATTATAAAGGGGGTGGCAATAATAAACATGCGTACAGCAGCTCTGAATTTCTACTATTACTATCACTATTACTATGAGTAGGATTACTACTATTACTACTGCTACTACTATTGCTGCTACTACTACTACTACTACAACTACTACTACAACTACTGCTACTATTACTATTAGTATTAGTTTTACTATTACTATTCCTCTTACTATTACTATTACCATTACCATTTCTATGACAAGTACTATTTCTATTACGATTACGATTACAATGACAATTACAGTTACTGTTGCTATTACTGAAAGTAGTACTGCTACTTAGACTATACTATAATACTTGAACTACTACTTGCACTAGTTGGTACGACCCCATGTCCCGGTGATGTATTATTGCGAGCCACCCTTTCCATAAATGCCTAACTTAGGGTCACTGAGGGTCCCTATAATAAGGGTCATAATATGTATTTTGGAGCCTAGAATGGGATCTCCCTATGTAGGGTAACAACTAAGTAGACAATTCATACTATGGGCATTTTGGAGGCCTAGGTAGCAGCAATCATGGCAAGGAAGACCGACTTGAACATGAGCCTCAAACCTGAAGCCCTGAGACTTTTTGCATCGGTTCAGGGTTCCGGTTTAATTATTGGTTCTTAGTGGGGAATAAGGGAGTATCATCCCCGTGTAATCCCTAGAAAAAACTCTCTTATTCCCTGCTAAGAACCAGCAAGTTTGGGGTTTAGGGTGCGAGGCTTAGGCCCAGCAGCTGTTTCCAGAACCAGTGATGTCCACACCACTTTCGTACGCCGCTCGGAGGGCATCATTGTATGCACCGCTCTGCATCAAGACCTCATCGTGTTCGTAGGGAATAAGGGGGGGTTTAGGGTTTAGGTACTATGACGGGATTCTGTTCCCTCATTCCCTACTAAGAACCAGTAAGTCATCATACTTGGTACATAGGGGAATGGGAATGAAATTAGACACTAGTATAATGGCGACTCAAAGGAAATTCAAATGTACACTAGGGTTTTATAAGAGTATGCCAAGGGCCTGTCTCAGATTTGTGATTTAGGGTCCCATTTCGGGCGCCTTCGATGAAGATTCCATAGCTTTCCCATGGTGCCAGCGTGCTTCAAAAAACACCCAAGACCCAAACACTAGACCCATGGTTTATGATCTGATCTTGGTCTCCTCAACGGGAGACCCAATGCCTACAGTCGCCAAAATTGTTAATGGCCATTGGGGGGGGTTTAAACTGGACCCGAATATACTATTGTACTAGAGTCCTTTGTATAGCAACCCCCCAAATGAGACCCGTAACTTACAGAAACCCTAAACCACACCTATCCCCAAACATCCCTGCAGGACATGCAGTCTCAGCAGTCGCTTTTTCACGGACCTTTAGAACAACCAGCCACTTTCTTGCCAAAGACGGTTGTAAAACCGCTGGAACTATGCTCTCTAAGATGCGAGGCCTTCTGAAATGCGAGGCCCCCTTCGGGGGATCCCCATACGAGCGATCATCATGTCATGTGGGTGGTTGTCAAAATTATGGTCCCTTTTTGGGTCACCCTAAATATTAGGGGCCATATT